TTGCCTGCTTTCCTCTCAGAAGAGAAAATAAAGCAGAATTTTCTTACTTGTGGAGCTTACACATGGTGCTAGTTAGGGGTAATGAGATACGGGAGAAGAGAAAGGACGGAACAGGAAGAGCTGGTACAACTGAAATCCCTGTTTACTTTTGTAGAAAACATTCCTGTGGTATCACCCTCTTCCTTTCTTAACTCTCCAGCCTTTCTTTTCTGAGGTCTTGAAGGGACTTGCATTCTTGAATACCCTACCCCACTTTATCTGATCTTCCAAAAGGGACAGTTAATAGTGGGATTTTTTCCGCTTCCACTCATCTGTCTTTTCTTGGGTCTGTTCGCTGAGAAACACATCACATTAATTAGTGATAGTTAACCAAATTTTCTTGGCTCCTGGTTTTCAGTGGTTATAGAACAGAGCTCATTGCTTCCTTGTTAGCAAGCTGCTCATGTAATGGCATCTTGCTTTTCACTTATAGGAGTTTAATTTACTTTTAGGGATGGAGAAAGGTCCTGCAGTCCAGTATTACTTCACCTTTCCCCAACTGTTCCTGCAAATAGTCAAGAGAAGCTGGCATCCACTTACCGCCCTACTAATAAGTTGCCTCTTCTGCAGTATACAACTAAGCACCTTAGTGTGGCTGGCAGATCAGACCCTATGAGATCTGCCTCCCTCTCCAGGAAAGTCCTTTTTTTTTTTTTAAGTTTTATTTATTTATGCATACAAGAGCCAGGGTACAGGCCAGAGGTATGGGATGTGAGAGGATTCGCCAGAGACAGAGTGGGGAACAGAACAGGCAGGCTGACTGAAATACACTGCTAAGGGGAGCAGCGGGCAAGACAGGAGAGGTCTGCTGTGCCATGTGGGTTGCTCCCTGGCCAGCCGGGATCGAACTGGTGCTGCAGAGGTGCAAATTGCTTCATAGTGCAGTGCTTACCCCCTTGTGCCACCAGGGAGGCCCGAAACCCTTTCATTGTTGACCTCTGTCTAGCAGCAAGGTGAAATTGCTTGAGGTACTGTGCACACCATGCTATTTACCATTCCTCTAGCTTCTCCTTGTTTTTTTTTTTTCCCCCTCTGTAATTGAAATGCCCTTCACTGACAATTTTTTTCCTTTTATCCTCCCCAAATACAATAATTTTGCTAGGTATACTCCCGTAGAGCTCCAGTCTTTGTGACCAACCTCTCTACAACCCACGTGGGATCTGTGTCCTCCTCTGACCTGTCTGGCTGTTGCCATTATCACAGGTTGTACTTTTTAATCCCTTTACAACCAACTACATCTCTGCCCTTCTCCTCCAGCAGATGTGTATTCTTGAAGCATGAGTAGTTTTTCTATATCAGAGCATAATGTTCAATACATAGTAAGAAAAATAATACACATCGGTTAAAATAAATTAAAATTTAAAGCGACTAAGAAGCTTACTTCTAATTGGATTCATTCATGGCAGACCTCTGAATCTTTCTACTAGCAAAGGAACTAAGAACAAATCACTGCAATGGAGTGCCTTAAATAAGTAGAAGACATTTCTCCTGGGTAGCCCAATTTAATACATTCTCCAATACATAGAGAATATGAGAAATCAACTTTGAAAGGGGAAAAACTAGTGCTAATTCCACACTTTTAGGAATAACATTTGCTGTCATCTATGCTTTTCTTTCTTTCATTGCATTAAAAATCATCCTGAATTATTTCTGATCTTCATCCTGTGGACAGCCATAGAAAAGCAAAAAAAACAAAAACAAAAACAAAAACAAAAGGTGGGGGGGATAATTTTTCCTTGTAAATAAAAATTATTCTAATAAAAGGCATAATTTCCATTTTTAAACCCAATTAGCTATCCTAAATTCAATAAATTTGTTAGTGACAAATCCTACAGTAAAGACATGTTGTCTCAAAAAATAAAATATTACCTTTTAAATTTTCAAAACTACTACAGGTGATTATCACTAGAGGTTTTATAACCTCTATGTGGCTGGATTGCTTACAGAAGTAAGCTTTGGATCCTTGTGCTTCTCTTTTGACCTGATGACTTATTCATCTCACACATACTTCAGGGAATTTTTTGGTTAGAACCTCCTTCTTAAAAATCAAACTGGAGAAAGTGTTCAAAACAACTGTACTTGGGGTTTGTGTGCTTCAGAGCCTGTTACACAGAGAGCAGCAATCAAGATGGAGCAGAACCAGTGGCTGCCAGTTCACAGGCACGAGTGTAATGTGGAAAGTTCTTGAGGGCTTTTGTTTTTGTTTTGCTTCTTTTCTTAAGACTGGAATCAAGCTTATGTGTAAACTATTGGTAATTTAAGTTTCATTTTGTGTCATTCAGTGTAAAACTGTCTAATTTGAAAAAAAGCAGATTATAAAAAATAAAGATTTAGGCACTGTTCAAAAAAACCGATCTTTCATTTCCCTTGAAAGATTTAGCTATACTATTACCATATTTAATTTTATTTGAAAGTGAGATATTCTCAAAAAATGCCATTAAAGTTATTTCCAAAAGTCCATACCCTTTATAAAGAAAAAGTGTGGGTGCAGCACATGACAATTACTTACAAAATCATTGTAATAAAGGTGAACAGACTAATACAAATGGTGACAGTTTAATTTAAAAAAAAATTAAGTTACTATAGCAGGCATATGCCTCCCAGAGATGTCCATATCCTAAAAATCATAAGGCAATATGTTTATTTACATGTCAAATAAGGAAGTAAGTTTAGAGATGAGTTTCAGGTTGCTAATCACCTGACCTTAGTAGAAAGAGGTTAGCCTGTATTATCCAGGTGGACCCAATATACTCATAATGGTTCTATAATATAAAAAGGAGTTGAAAAGGTCAGAGTTGAAAGATTTGAAGATGAAGAAAGGGGTCACCAGTGAAGAATGTCTCTAGAAATTAGAGTAGGCAAGGAAATAGATTTCCCCCCACCCCAAAAGCCTCCAAAAGAGGAACCTGGTCTTACCAACACCTTGATTTTAGCCCAGTGAGATTTCCAACTCACTGGACTGCAACCAGTGTATTGTTTGTAGTTATTTTTACAGCAACAATACAAAACTAAGACAGAAACATTCATACAAGACCATGTAATCATTAAAAATAATACTTAAGAAGAATTACAAATGATGTGGAAAATATTCAAGGTATGTTGTTAGGTTAAAAAAGTAGATGAGGAAACACTACATTCAGTAAATTGAAATAAAAATGTTATATTTGTTTAGCTAATATCCGAAATACATACTTTACTACTCAATCCTTACTTTACCAAATTTCTGCATCCTAAACAGACTTGAAAAATTAAAACAGTGGCAATATCTACCTGTTTTATTTTTGGATATTTTTTATGAACTAAAGTATAAAACCTGGGCCATATGAAATTATAAAATATTTTGACATATAAAGATTAATCTTTGAGTGATAATTACATTAGTGGTGTAAGGATTTCTTACAATACCAGAATAGAACCTATAGACTAAGGTTGAAATTTTATCTACATAAATTTAAGGGTTCTGTTGGATAATCCCCTTTATTTTTCCTTACAGAATTCACTACTGACACTTATCCTGGTTAGTTTCTGCCCTTCCTTCATTCTCTGTGTTTGCTTCACATTAATGGTGAGTTGTATTATTGTTCTTTATATTTGTAGAGATTAAATTTTTCTAAATCGGGTTAAACCATAGTTTATCAAATGCATTATTTGATGTCAAGTGCATTTTTAATAAACTACTATCTATATAATAAGCTACTAATATAAAGGCCTGGTTCTAAGTCACAATGCAGACTGTTATTTTTTAGTACCTAGGAGTCAGCACAGTAGCCACCAGTACCAGGGCCCTGGCATCCAGGAGTAGGAGTACTTGGGTTCAAATCAAGGCTTTCCCTATCTTTGTCCTTTTGTAAGTGACTTCCTCCTCTTGAGACTATTCTGATCCTTTAGGGTTATTGTGAGAAATAAACAAAATGACTTTCCATCTGTGAGTAACCATTAACTGTGCTATCATGGAATGTCTTTTTCCTGAGTGCCATTGCTTGAACTGCATAGCTTAAGAAAATTCAAACTGCTTGTATTTGTAGCCTCTGCGATTACTTCAAGGCATATTTTCCTTATTAAGTGTGATGAAGTAATACACATATGACGAAACTGCTGATGTATGCAGAGCTAACTGAAAGAAGTGACGGAAACTTCCATTTGAGCTCTATTTGATAGTTTTCTATTCCCTCATTTGAATGAAAAAATGAATTTGCACCCAGTTTCTCCAAAATGCTTTATATAGGGGATGTGATCTCTTTAGTCTGCATGGACAGAGTGGGAGAAGGATGTTTGTTTTAAGAGATAAGTCAAAGGAAAAAGAAAATAAAATGGTACTTCTGTTTGGCCTCTGAGCTCTACCAGGAAAATAATAGGACTCCTACTATTCTCATTATTTTGGATGACTGTACAAAAAAGCATAAGCCATTGGAGAGTTTAGCGCTGGGTAGATGTGCATGGGTGTTCATAATTGAAGATAAAAATAAGAGCATGTGGTCAGACCTTACCTTCTGAACTCCATTTGTTTCATTATCATTATTAGGCTTTTTATGTGCATGGTGAACTCAAACTTTAATATTACTTTATGAAATAGTAACCATGTCAAAACCTTCAAATACATTTACAACATAGGCATAACAAAGCATAAATCAGAGACACTTAAAACAGGTATGTTTCTTCTAAGGTATTAAATGTAGCCATTTACTCATGTAAGAATGAGTAGTTCTTCAATCAGTTTTAAATAATTAAATACTGTTGGTTTGCTCATTTTCTTTACCCCCTCTTGGAATAAATTCTTTTCCAGACTGGATGTTGAGACTCTGGGTAACCTTGAGATATTCTTAAGATAAGCTTACATCTGAAGAAGTATTGTCAACTCTGTACTAAATATAGATAAAAAAAAAATAGCATCATGTTTGAAAAACAAACTGCTGAAAGTTAAGCACTATATCATTCAGAGTTTATAAGATTCACCATCATTGTTTTAACACAGAAATCTTTTTATTAAACCAAACAAAACAGATAAAATTATACCAGCCCTCAAATTTTGAATTTTCATTTAAATAAGCAAACTCTAAGTCCACACTGTAAAAGATGTTTGTGCATCTATGTATCTCCAAAATACTCATATTTCAATAAGATTTTCACATTATATTCACCAACAGTATCACAAAATTTCATTTTTTTTGTTTTTGTTTTGTTTACGTAACTGTAAGGAACAGTAATTCTAGAAACACTAGAAGAAAAAAGCATAGCAATGTCCACAGTTACAAGAAAAAGTGCACATTACTTGGTCACAATCACAGTCATTACTTGAAAAACTATATGTAACAAGTAGATAAGAAATATCACTGGTGCCTTAAACTCATTATCAAAAACTGAATGACATAAATTTTACATGAAATAAGGCAAATTCAGGAATGCACAAAGAATTTGTAATCCAACCAAAGCTAAACAACAAAAAAAATTGTACAAGAAGCATAAACTGATGTATTTCTCTCTAAATATTTAAAAAATAGGCTTATCTCAGTGCACAAAGAAAACACCATTCTTGTGTATCCAACACTATAAAAGAAGGGCAAAATACAGGGAATAAGAAGGGACAGTTCATTGTAAGTTGCAGCTGCATCCACTGAGAGTTCTTTAATCATTTTTACCTAAAACTGTAAATTATACAAATCATATCAGGAGAGGTAATGGTCTTTTTGGAAACTATTTCTGAAAGAGAAATGAAAAGAAAACTACACATAAGAGTGCAAATTTTCAGATTGTCACTTGCAACCTCTTAACATTCAGTCATCTACATCCAGTTGCTGCTAGAGGGATGCTTATAACACAGCAGCGGCAATCCATTGTGAGCAGATGTAAGAAACAAAGGTGTGATTTTTTTTTTTCCAATGATTATGTCTTTTTTAATAAAAAAAATTGTATGATGAAAACAGCTATGAGAAAGCTGCAGTGTTGAGTGGGATGCTTGAGATCAACATGAGTCTGAAATGCAGGCTTCTGTTGGATGTAGTTCCTGATGTGACGATTTAAAGAACGTAGGCAAGGGGTTTTCCAGCATCAAGTGTCATTTTTTTTTTTTTTGTAGAAAGAATTTGGAAAAAGAAGGCAAAGGGATGTGGAAAAGGTACATACAGTAGTTTCTCAAAACAGTTTTCTTTTAGGACCTATGAAAAAGTTACCAAAGTAAAAATGACAATTTTGAATGAAAAACAAGTTTTTTTTTTTATAAAAATTACATATATATATTTTTTAAAATACAAGATCCTTTTCATTGTTGTTATATCCTGTAGCAACAGGAAATTTGGCTTTTTTTTTTTTGTCAGATACTGGAGCTTTCAGTCCTATGAGTCAGTAGCAAATTCCACTAATATTTCAGTTGGATCTTGAATTATTTTTTATACCACAAAGCTTCTTCTGTTTTATCCTTGAATTAGGGATTTACAGCCTTTTTTTCCCCCCAGATATTTATGCTGACACACAAAAACAAAAAGCAGTAGGCTGGACACATTAAAGTATCTCAAGTACTTCAGAGGGCAAAGTTCCTTTGAAGCACCTTAACACATCACTTTATGGATCAAGGACAATGTGGCATAATGCAAGTATTTCTCTTAAAAGACTGTGCAGTAAGATCAGAAGCATCTCTGCTGGGAAATCAAAATGTCATTAGTGGAAACTGCAAATTTAGACCTCACTGAATATGGTCGTCATTTGACTCAGTTCTGTTGTAAAATAAGATTTTCCAGTTCATCTGCAGAACGCAATAAAAATGCAGCTGATTCTCGATATCCTGCAACAAGCTGTCTCACAGCGTTGATTTCAGTTGGACTCAGCTGGGGTCTGGAGCTTGAACTGCTAGAGGATCCTGAGCTCGATGCCAATTGCCTCTTCATGCTGAGATCAGTGGGTCCTAGCAAACAAAATCACCAAATTAGACAAATAGTTTTTGTTCTAGTACCTGAAACATGAGTGCTAAATAAATTATGGTTGAATTAATTCACAAATTTTGTTCATGAGAAGTTGCAATTTTTCATCAGATATATCTGCTTTCAACTAAAGAGCAACGTGGAATATCTCTGGGTGTTCTGTTGCAGTGCTGACCTCTGAACGTGTGCTTTTTGGAAAATTCAATTCAAACTTTAATACGCTATAGAGGCTTCTCTGTAGTATAAACTGATGGGAATCACAAATTTTATTTGCTACATTTGATAACAAATAATTTTAGGAGTCAGAAGTTATCAAATTCTATATTGTGACATTGACTCCAGATTAGACGCCTCAACTTAAAACAAACCTGAGCACTTGGGGAGTTCAATGACTTGTTCAGAACTCAGCAACTATTAGGTGACACAATAAGGATTTAGGGATTTTTTTTTTTTTCATTTTAGGTCAATGTTTTTTTTTTCCCCACTAGTTTGATTAGTTTTTAAAAATGTGGACCTGTTAGACTTCAGTTTGCTTTAGACATGTGCAATAAGCAAATGGCTAGTACAAACAAAACTACAGGGGAATTAGACTCGGAATATTTAGGAATTAACATCACTTTATTTGCACAATTATTCATGTGCCAATATTTTTTCCTTATATACATTTAAACCAAACTCTTAACATTTTCAGTCTGCTTTTTAACATTTTCTGAATATTTAGATTTAAAATAACTTTACAGTTTAATTCAGATTATTTGTAATGCTTTGTGTTGATTCTTTTAGGTTATTGAGGAGGTTTTATTATATATCTGTGTTAATTTTTTTATTTGCTACCTTTCATTAAGCAGTTGCCATTGTTAAATTTACACTAATACATTTGAGATCCTTGAATAAAATACTAAGCACATAACTCAAGGCATGCCCCTAAACTATAGTGATTCTATGACTTGAAAGTATTTTAACAGATTTCTCTAAAGTTACTATAAATTTTCAGGTAACAGTATTCATTTAATGAACTAAAACAAGGAATGTTATTTTAACCTTCTAGTCCTTGACATGATTTAGACAGAGGTCAAGACCCACTCCCCTATCCCAAAGAGAGGAGAGGATTTCTGTCAACTAAGAGGTAGAGGTCCATGAGAGGGAAATAGCTTCACTTGGAATTTAATTAGGATAGAGGCAAGAGAAGCACACAGCAACTCTGACACCTGAGAGAATCTTATTTCCACTTCTGCCATAGTCTTTCAGATCTTTGATTTTTCTACCAGAAGTTAGCTTTCATTTGTTCTATTGAAAAAAAAATCAAGATCCTGATATAAAAAGCAGAATATAGGAATTGCTATACAAGTATTCCAGCAAATCATTAACAGTAGCTAGTTTATTTGAAAAGTTCCAAGTGAATTTAAAAATGTGAAGTAATAAATGTGGTATCTGGATCAACCCATATACAGTTTTCGTTCTATTGTATTTAAGAGTTCCAGTGTTAGTACAAATCTTTATGAAAAAAAAATAGGATTTTCTGCTAATAATGTAAATACCTAGTGCCAGGTTGGCTGGCTATCATTATTTCATTAAAAGGCATAGTATTGTATAATGATTTTGCTCTCATCTAGTTGCTGATTAAAATCTTTAACTGAAATTATTTAAGGATGGCTACAGGTCCATGAGAGAGATAATTTTCTAATACTGTATTTCATGTAGTACAGCTCAAGGGTATGAGCTTCCTAATGAAGATACAGTTTTACTTCATTTTTAAAAATTGTATTATAATTGACATACTACAGATTAACTTCAGGAGAACAACAAAATAGTTTGGCATTTATATACAATGCAAAATGATCACCTTCAGTTGTTTATTCCCCATCTTTGCAATTCCAAAGTATCACCACAGTACTGTATAATTGACTTATAGACCCCGACCTATAAACTACATTCTTGTGACTTAAAATAACTGGAAATTTGTAACTTTTGGTCCTCTTCCCCCATTTTTCCTCTTCCCCCAAACCATTTCCCTCTGACAGCCTCCAATCTGTTTTCAGTATCTATAAAACTGATTTTGTTTAGTATTTTAAATTCCACATGTGTGAAATCATATACTAAATTTGATCCTTAGTATTTCAGATTGATATCAGGATCCTGCAGATACTAAAATCCAGATGCTTAAGTACCTTATATAAAATGTTGTATTTGTGTATAACCTGTGCTCAGCCTCCCATATACTTTAAAGCTCTAGATTACTTAAAACACCTAATAAAATGTAAATGCTATGTAAATCCTTGTTACACTGTATCATTTAGGGAACAGTGGCAAGAAAATGTCTATAGATGTTCAGGTCATATACCACCATCATAGAGCTAACTACATAGCATATATTTTCATTCAGTCCATGGTTTGTTGAATCTACGAATGTGAAAAAATAGATCCCTTTCAAAATACAACTATTCAGTGACAATTCACATGTGCACCTAGGAATTCTGATGGAAACAAGGAGATGACTTGTTTTTATGCATGCTAACAATACATACATTCTGCAGCCTGTAGATCAATGAGTTGTTTTGATTTTCAAATCCTATTTGAGAAATACATTTTATAGGACTGTAATTGCCATAGATAGTGGTTCATCTGCTAAGTCTCTGGTCAAAGCAAATTGAAAATCATCTGGAAGATTTACCATTTTAGGTGACTTTAAAAACATTCATGATTCATGGGAGGATGTTAGGAAGGAGTTTGGAAGAAACTGATTGCAACTCTCATTGATGAGGAGTTCTGTATAGACTCCAGTGAAAGGATATGCTGTAGATGTGTTACAAGTAGAAAGAGAACCAGAATTAGAAATTTAGGCTTACGATGTGACTTACTTGCTGTAATCACATGATAAAAATTTAATTGCTGAGTCATTGCTTATTGATAAGCAAAGAAAGTGGTTTCTTGAGATGGAATCTACTTAGGTTGAAAATGTTATGAACATTGTTGAAATAACAAAATATCCTGAATATTATATAAAATTAGTTGACAAAGTAGTGACAGGTTATGAGAGGACTGACTCAAATTTTGAAAGTAGTTCTGTGGCTATAATGCAAAGCTAATCAATGGCAGAAAACTTTAAGAAGTTGCCACAATAACTTGCCTTCAACAGCCATCACCCTTATCACTCAGCAGCTATCAACAAAGAGGTAAGAGCCTTCCTCAGCAAAATATGAATAACTGAAGGCTCATGTTAGAATTCTTTAACAATGTATTTTTGAACAAAGGCATGTAAATTTCCATACATAATGTTGTTGTACACTTAGCAGACTTAAGTTTCATGTGAACAGAACTTTTATATGCACTGGGAAACCAAAAATTTAAAGTATCACTGTATTGTGATATTTGCTTTGTGGTGTTCTGAGGTTTGTAGATATATGTACAAAATGCATGTAATGTATATGTTGTATAGAGGTCTATAATGAGAATACTTTTTCTTGGGGGGGGGATATAACAATTTGCTCAATTGGGGTTCAAATTTAGTTTCCCATTTCATTAAAATCAGTTCCAAATTACCATCTTTTAATGTGGATCTGTAAAGAGATATGCATTTCAACTTTGAAAGTGTCTTTTAAGTAGTTATTGTATTGAATACTAATACTAGTGCATGAATGATTTTAATTGAACATAGTCATCATTTGGAAAGCATTCATAGGGATTTCTAAATTTGTCTTTTTATACCCGACTTTCAGCTTATCAATAAATTGCAGATTAATTACGTGCAATTGAAGCTGAAACTATAAATCCTTCATTTGAACAATGAAAAGGTTTTTGAAATAGGGGAATTTACTTTGCATCTGCATCAAGGTCCAGTAAACATTGCTGCCCTGTAGCATGTGTACTCAGTAAATATACCCACTGGAAATTTGTGTGGGAACAGAGATTTAACTTCATGTTTTAACTTTGACAATATGGGTGGTTTATAAGGCAGCTAGTCACTAGTGATTCAAACAGTGTTGATCAGCAAAAGGTCTTTAAGACAGCAAAAGCTTCACATATAAACACTGTTTTGCCTTGTAATTTTAGATTGAATTCATCAAGCAACATTGTCTCTTCTGCAGCAAAAGCTAATTTTCAAAGCCATTCAGTGTTTGATAAAGCTTGAGGTCAGTTCCTGTTCAAAAAGAATTCAATCTCAGTCCTGACCTAAAAAGGCTGCAGTAAAACTTTACCACTGAGCCATCAAAATACACAGTATGGTAGAAGATAGGATATGCAGACTTTTTTTATTTTTGGCAAAATTTAACAGACATGGTTATGATTACAACAATGAGAGGAAATGAAGCTTAAATCTGATGCTGATTCAATAACACATGATAAAACTAAAGTTTTCCACAGTATACTTGCAGAGGACTAGTTCAAGGAATAACTGCTTTGTCTTAAAATTTGTAATTTGGACCAAAAAAAATCATACATATTGAGTCTACTTCATGTTTGACTGAACAGGTTTTTTTTTCTCCATTTTGTAAATATGTAGTAAATGCTATAATATGTAGTAATGCTATATATAAATATGTAGTAAATGCTACATGTAAATAGATAAAAATGTAGATGTAATGTTATATAATGTGTATGTTATATAAACAATGAATAATGTGATAACAGCACATACTGTGGAATAAATGAAGGGCATCCAATAAATGAAATAGAGCATATACAATAAGTAGGACACATGGGAAATAAATGCAATAAATGAAACTATAGGCTGCTCATGCAATAAGTGCAATATAACATGGGAAATAAATGAAAACCACCACATGCAATAAATGACATATAGCATGGGGAATAAAATATGGCATGTGAAATAAACACAATATAGCATGGACATACAATAAATTAGATACATCATAGCCAATAGATGTAGTATAGCATGGGGAAAAAAATAATTGGGCCTATGTGATAACAGTGATAGTGCATATGCAATAAATGTAATATAGCCCATGCAATAAAGAAATCCTGT